CTTTGTCTTCAGCATTTGTGTTGGGGTAGGCTGGTGTGCTTCTTCCGTGTGGGTTTTGTTGTCTCTCAGCTAGATGGTGCTTGTTTATCTTCAGGTACTATATATTTTGGTAGCTGAACACCATCAGCTTTCTTCACCACACTTGCTTGTGCACCCATTGTCTTCAGTGACTTCAGGTTTTATATGTTTTGGTAGCCATGCATCATCCGCTTTCTTCATCACATTTTCTTGTGCACCCATTGTCTTCAGAGATCATGCCAGGTAGGTGAGCATCACATACTGCCAAATTGTTAGAACAAAGTGTTCTTGTGTTGGGGGAGTACTTGTGTAGGGACCCACTGTCCATCTGTTTTCTTATTACTCAACCTATAAATATATGTACATTGATCTAATTCCCCCTCATCATGTATACATATATTTACAATTTATATGCCTGTAATTACAGCTCTATGAGTACCCTTTGCTTCCTAGCTCTTTCCTCTGTTTCTTTGTACTTTCCTCTTGTCCCACTATCATGTTCTGCCTTCATTTGGGTTTTAGGCATTCCTCTAGGTTACATTGCCCTTGATCCTGCCCTACAAGGCCTCCCGCACCCTCCTTGACATTGATTTTGGATCACTTGTTGTTCCCTTGTCCCTGTGCTTGTTAACACCCTCTTCCTTCCTCTCCCCCTCCCCTACCCCATGCTCCCCTGATCTGTCATCCTGTTGTTCTCTCTTCTGGCTTGTTTATTCCGCCTATCCCTTCCAGGTGGACATGCTATGTACCATCACCAGACTGAGTGCAACGAGGCAACAACAGAAAGTAAAACAATGTCTACAACAACAACAATACAGACGTATGCATACATATATAACTGGATGAATAGTTCATGGTCTGTTTGTTTTCTTTCACGTGTGCTTTCCAGTCAAGTCTGATTGGGTGCCATGACCTGGCATTGCCTCTATCCCTGAGGACCTCACCACTCTGCTCCCTCCGCTACTCTGATGCACGCCCCCAGGGGCTGGCGTTTGGAGTGGTGAGCTTATGGCGGGCACAATTCCCGCCGTTTGTCTCCAGTGCTGTCCCCAGTGGTGCGATGGGTCAACGAGGAACACTGTGTCCCGTGGTGGGGCGACCGTGGTCATCTCTGTGCATCGCTGTTCTGAACAGGCACATTGTCCCCAGGGCTCAGCGAGCCAGGATGTGCTCCACTCTTTCCTTTTCTTCTCTTTCCCCCTCATTGGTTCACATGCTCTCCGACCAGACCAGTCCCTCTTACCCTCTTCCTGAGCTGCAGCTTCAGTGCTGTCCTCTGAAGTGAATTCCCCCTGGGAGAGGGTGGTGCCGTGCACCCAGTTGGTAATGGGGCTGGCCCCTCAGGCTTCTCCATCTGTTCCCTACTTCATGTCAGCGTGTTGCGCTCCTGTCTTGGAGCTCCGGGTTGAAGTCTGGTCCCTCTTTCCCTGTGGAGACACAATCGACACCCTCCCCCTATGTTGATTAGTGCCCTGTTCCCCTGGCTACCCATACCTTTTTCCCTCCTCCCTTTTAGTGGGCTACCATATGTGCCCATGCATGGGGCTTGTTGGATTCTGAGCTGTGGACAAGATAAATAAGATAAACCTCTGATATAAACAAACCCTAGGCTCTCCTAAAATGAAGGTATTCTGAGCTTAAGTTTGAAGGTTGTGGTGAAATGAACTTAACCAAAGCAATCACTAAGTCCACAACCAGCTCAAACATAGACTACACTGGCTCAATCTGCCCTTCATCCCTATACATACTATAATGGCCAACCAGTAGACCTAACGTTTACCTCATTTTTGACTTCTTACACACATTGTGTGGCATATGATAAATCATTGGAAGGTGTATCAACAGTTAAAAATATGTAACTCATTCAGTTATATAATCAGACCAAATGTGACTCAGATTTTAACTTATTAAAATATTTAAAACATTAAAAGGGGGACTTTCAATGACTGTTAAAGGAGGTAGTGTTAAAGATGTACACCTTCTATGAGTAGAAGGTGTGCAATTCTAAGAATTGAAGGGGAGTGTCTGCAAAAAGATAAGCTCTAAGGAAGAACCAAGTGGAAATACTGTCAAATAAGTTATACGAAATAGGAAGGGTTTATTTTCAATAGATTTCTCTTAAAAGTAGACCCTGCCGAGAGTAAATCCATGAGCTAGATAATAAGTCAGTATAACTATCCAAACTAAAAAGAGTGACAGAGACTTTAAAAAAGAATAAAAAACAGAATCTGGAAGCTGAGGGACTGTAACACATACCCTTGTTACATGTGGGTGTTTGAGTCCCAGAACCAAAGCAAAGCAGAGGAAGTAATAGAATAGGTAATGGTTAAGATGTTTGCAAAATGTATGTCGGACACAGCACACACATCTAAAAATCTCAGTAACCTTCAATCAGAATATCTCA